ATGGAAATTCCAGAGATGTATATTGGAACATAGGAACAGGATTAGGCCATTCAGCCGACTGAGCCTGTTCTGCGATTCTATTAGATCGTGGCTGATCTGTACCTCAACTCCATTTACCCGCCTTTGGTCCACATTCCTTGATACCCTTACCTAACAAAGATCTATTCACCTCAGTCTTGAAAATTTCAATTGATCCCACATCCACAGCCTTTTGGGAGAAGGTGATTGAGGCCAGGACATTAGATTCATTTAAAAAACAGCTTGTTGCTGTGATGGAAGGAAGGTAGGGTGGGTGTTCTGGAAGAACGAGATCAGATTCACTGATCTTGTAAATAACACAGTAAAAGTGAGTTCAGAATTCCATTCCAGGCACTTCAGATAAGAATAAATCTAAAACTAGATTCCAGAAATAATGCCCATTAAGAATTTAAAACACTACTGTTTAACCCCAGAATTTATGGTGCAAAGCAATGACAGTATCACAACCCAATATAATTCAAACATCAAATCAGTAGAAAGTTATAAAAGCTTCATTCTGGTTTAACCCAGTTTGATGCTGCAAATACATAGTTATTGTACTGCATATCAATGATGAAATTTATTTGGATTTCAGACCAATGTGCTCACTGAACTGGATTTATTAAAATACATATTTTGTGCAGTGAAGCAATTCTTATTTGGATAGGGAAATTTATAGGTTAGCATAACACAGCGCAAATGCAGAGCAAAGCTGATAGGAAAAGAAACTGGGCTGGGATAATGTAAAAGGGAGCTTTATTTTGCTCCAGGATATGCTACACATACACTTATAAACTTTCATCAGCATTCCATCGAAAAAGAAGGAAAACCTAAGGCCTTTGTCATATAGCGTTGAGTGACATATTTAATAGGCAATATGTAGTTATCATTCTGCTATCCACTGACTTTGAAATAACATATAGTTCTCTCAGTCTGATAATATTCAGTCAGGAGGACTCATTTCCATGTTAGAAAGTTGTGGGTTTGATGCTATATTGGGACTTGAGCTTGTAAACTAGACTGATATTCTATTGCAATATTGAATAAGTGCTGCATCACCAGAAGTTTCATTCTGTTCGATGAGACATTAAACCAAGATCAGCTGGTTGAGGATATGGAGCTTGTGTCCTCTCCCGCACCAGGCTCCATGACCCTATGAACCCCACCCGTCTCCACTGGCTCCCTATCCTCCAGTTCAAAATCCTTGTCCTCGCCTTCAAGGCTCTCCACTGCCTAGCTCCTTCCTGCCTTTGTGATCTGCTACGCCCACATCAACCTGTTCATTTCCTCCGCTCAGCAGGCTCCGTCCTGTTCCACATCACCCGCCTGGCCTGCCCCATCTTCGGTGGTCGGGTCTTCAGCCTCTCTGCCCCATGCTTTGGAACTCTATCCCATATTCCCTTTGTGTCGCTCCCTCCCTTGCCTCCTTCAAAGCACATCTCAAGACCCTCCACTTTGACCGCTCCTTCGGCCCCCCTCCCTGATCCCAACCCCCTTGCTTGGGTCCAAATCCCTGACTGTCCAGCGCCTTGGGACATCCTCTCAACGTGAAAGGAGCTATACAAATGCAATTTTGTATTGTATCAAAAATAATAATCCTTGCATTTGATATAGCGCCATATCACGTCATTGAGACATCTCAAAGCACTTCACAGAACATATTGTAAAGTGAATTGACTGTATAATTTGTGGCCGAAATGTGAATTTTTTTTTCAACAGGGATTATTACCCCCACAAACGATCCACCAATCAAGTAAAACAAGTGAAAGAACTCAAGAGAGAGAAAATGAGAAAAGGGCCGAGTGAAAGCTAGAGAGAGATGAGAGTCAGAGAGAACAACAACGAGAGAACAGTGTGACACTATAACGATTGTACACCTTCTGGTGGAAGAATTTTATAGTTAGCACTGCAGCAAATTTGTATTTTCCGTATGTCCAATTAACTGCACTGTTCACATTTTCTCAAAGGAACTGATCCCAATTAGTGTGGATTTCATAGAGAAGTATGGAACAATACACAGGATTTTGGTTGATCATATCCACTCCTTTTCTAGATTTCACCCTTATTACCCAGTTACTATCTTGATTGTCACTACAAAAATCTCAGTGTACAAGGAACTAATTTGATAAGGCCATTCAGCACAAACTTTACTAAGCCAGATTTAAAACTTATTCTGTCATCACTGGCTTGTCTCTCAGTCTTAATTTTTTCCCTAGAATTAGTTCATAAACTTCTCAGGGAGTATAAATTAATTTGGTCATTTTCTGGTCAACCATCCTGGTATGTGTTGCACTCTTTCTCATTTTGCTGAAATTTCTACTGATATTATTCCTATTTGTGTTCCTCCCTTCTTAACTATTACAATGCATTGTCTGTAGTCACTATCCCAAAGCTGAATTCAGAAAATCAGATTTCTTTCCAATTATTTTTGCATTTGAAAAAAATCTTTTCTCACAAAAACACACAAGAGCTTGCATTTCTATAGCGCTCCTCATATAGAAACCTATAAGATTCTTAAGCGTCTTGACAGGGTAGATGCCGTGAGACTGTTTCCCCTGGTTGGAGAATCTAAAAGTAGGGGTCAGAGTCTCAAGATTAAGGGTCAGTCTTTTCAAACTGAGTTGAGGAAACATTTCTTCACTCAGAGGGTAGTGAATTTGTGGAATTCTCTACCCCAGAAGGCTGTGGATGCTCAGTCCTTGAACATATTCAAGACTGAGGTTGACAGATTTCTAAAGGATAGAGGAATTAAGAGATATGGGGATAAGGCGGGTAAATGGAATTAGGTTAGAAGATCAGCCATGATCTTATTAAATGGTGGGGCAGACTCGAATGGCCTACTCCTGCTCCTATGTCTTATAGGGTAAAGCTTCGGAGTGCTTTACATAGACCCTGGTGGATATCGAGCAGGGGTAGTGAGGTGACTTTAGGTTAGGTCAAAGAGTTGGGAAGTTACTTTAGGTTAAGTCAAACAGTTATTTGGGAGACAGATAGAGAAGTAGGGAGGGAACGAGGTGGAAGGATTTAGCGAACAAGTTCCAGAGAATAGGGCTACAATAGCTGAAGGCTCACCCACCAATGGTGGGGCAGAGGAAATGAGGAACAACCACCAGGCCCAAATTTGTTGAGCAGAGCAGATAAGCAGGAAAGTGAGGCTGGAGAAAATTGCTGAAATAGGGAGGTGCAAAGATATTATGGTGAGAGGAACTGTAGGTGAGAGTAAGGATATTGAAGTCAATCTTCTGGGAAATGGGAAGTCTGGACTCATAACGATGTGGATGAGGGGCTCAGGAGACCAGGGTGAGAGGTGGCCTATATTAGAACAGTGAAGGAGAACTAAATGAGTGAGACAATTTGAAGGACACTTGGAAGTCAAACAAGACATCAATGTGCAATACTGGCTCTGTGGGGTAGAGTGAGCATCCGTGCAGGTTGATACAGTCAGCGCTCAAGGTGAAAAGGGTCTAACGTGCTCAAGATAATATATTGAGCAAAGAGAAGGTTCCTAGCTGGCAGGAAAGTTTTTTGTTTTTATTTGCACATAAGAAACAGGTAATATTTTGTTACCCATTAGTATCTAGCCACCGAAGAGTATTAGTAAATATTTATGTAATCAATAACCAGATAGCTCCTTAAAGAGATTTACATAGAATATACAGCATGGAAACAGGTCATTCTGCCCAACCAGTCTGTGCCAGTGTTTATGCTCTATATCAATCTCCACCCACTCCTTACTCTCTTCCATACCCTTCTATTCCCCTCTGTCTCAACATCCTCGCCCTCACCAAAACCTGGGTCACTCCGGGCGACACCTTCCCCCTGACAGAGGCCACACCACCCTTCCATCATACCCCATGATCTAACCGCCATGGCGGCGGTGTGGCTCTCCTCCCTGTCCCTGCTCGGCCTATCCCCTTACTCTTCTGGAACTTTCTGGTAATCCCTCAAGAAAAAATCCCCAAACAATAATAATTTAGTTACTCAATCCACAACTGTTTGTAGGACACTGCTGTGTGCAATTGGCTGCCGCATTTCTCCCCCAAAATATACAGTCAATTCACTTTACACTATATTCTGTGACGTGCTTTAAGATGTCTAGAAGACTTGAAAAAATATTAAATGCAAAGATTATTATTATTACTGGAGATATACAATTAAAAATGCAACAAATGATTCATTCTCCAAGAAAAATCTGATTTTGGGTTTAGGTCAAACACAACTGCAAACTATACTGTTTGGTTAAAAAGCTGAGCTGTGCCATATAATGTAATAAGTACAAATAGGTGTAATGTATAATCAGAACATATTTCCGTAAGGATAGTGAAAGCAAAGAGTGAGATGTTATTGCTAAATAATAATATCGCTAAACACGGTCATATTCAATACAATCTGCAAAATACAGGATATCACACTAGGGAAAGAGTATTATCACTTTTTCTCACAAGTTTGTGTAACTTAATCAGTTATTTAAGTTGTTCACAGAGTGCCTAACAGTTATGTAAGCATTGCTGTAAGTGAAAGCTGCAGCAAAGGATGATGCGTGTAAATTTTGGGCTTTTGTAACCACAGTCTGGTCTCAAAAGCAATGTGTGGTGCAGGATGTTAAACGATAATTGAGATTAACCTTTAACTTTTTTTCCTGATCACCTCAGACCACATACCTCCTACTGCAGATAAGGCGAGAAAGGTTACCTGTTCCCAGGCCTCTGTCAATCTACTCAAGTTAGACACTAACAGCCTCACAAGCAACAGAGATTCACACTCTTTGTTTTTTTTCTTAGCGAGGAACAGCATTGAGTAGAAAGAAAGAGGAGTCAAAATAGAAGAAAGTATTTCTAGAGAAATAATGATATAAACAATGTAAAACATGATTACCCTCTGCATAGTCTGCAAGTATATGTAAACTATGAAAATTGGAATCAGCAAAGGCAAATTCTTTAAATGCATTTTACTGTCATCATGACACAAAATATTTAACATACCTCAATGCCTCTTCATCATCTTTTTGAGCATCTATTCTGGACACGTACTCCTTTAGGGTAATCTCCTGGAATGTAAGGAATGTGAGGATTATTGATAGTAAATGAGAGACAATAATAATCCATACATTTGGTATAGTGCCTTTCACGTTGGGAGGACATCCCAGAGCACTTCACAGGATGCACTGTAAAGTGTAATGACTGTGTTTTGTGAGCAAATATGGCAGTCAATCCAATGTGTGCACAGCAATGTCCCACAAACAGCCTTTTGAAGTGAATGACTGCTGGACAGGACACGGGGAGAATTTCCCCTCTCTTTTTGAATAGTGCCATGACAGCTTTAATGTCCATCTGAGCAGTTAGATGGGACCTTATCCAAAAAATGTCACTTCCAGCAATATAGCAGCACTGCACTGGCATGTCAGCTTAGAGCACAATAGTTCCAAGTCCCATTGTGGGGGTTGAACCCACACTCCTCTGACTCAGAGGTGAGAGTGCTACCAACTGATCCAGGCTGACACAATATTTGTCCTTACCTGTCCAAATAGCTGTAAAAAAAAAATTGGCACAATTGTAGTGGAAAGTTTTAACTTTTATCAATTTATCTACTCTGAAATTTAAAAATACATTCAACATCAAGCCCATTCTTTTAAGAGTTGAAATAACCTATTCAGTTATCGTTGCCATATATTCTGTGAAGCGCGTGAAGACGTGATAAGGCACTATATCAAATGCAAGCATTATTATTATCTTTTCAGCAGGTTGAGGAAAAAACTGAAACAAGGCAAGCCGTGTGATCCACATTTAGCTGTAAGGTTACAGTGCCAAAGCGGTACCACTGATTAAAACTTACACAGCAGACACTGAATATTCACATACTCTGACAAAATAAAATATTTTAAGGTTGTACCAGTCTCCAAATTGTACTTTAAATCTCACTAAACAAAATATTCAACATGGGAGGCTCAGGGGAAACTGCCTCAGGATAAAATAATGGGAACAGTAACGTACCCTTTGAAACAACAACATTCCTATGTAAAAAAAACTAAACCAATTTTAAGTAGAATTTTATACTGCACAAGTAGTATAAACAAAATACCACTGACACATAGTGGGGTGGAGGGGGGGTTTCTAAACAACTCACCTTACCTTTGCATACTGTGCAAGTAACTTCTCTTCCCTCTTCAACACAAAATCAATTCTAAATTCAGTGTTTGAATCTCAAGTATTTCCCATGTACTTTAGACAAACTATGATCGAGGGCCATTTTTCCAGGTGTGCTTCTCTTCATTATGGAGCCACGTGGGAGCCTTCTTCAGAGAGCTGTTGCAAGGGAACTTATTAAAGAGGGATATGAAGCTCAGAACAGCTGCTGCAAACAGCAGCTAACTACTGCTGTATCATGTACATCAAAAGCCTCATCTCGATTTTGTTTTACAGAAAAAATTGTGAGCTCTTAATTTTCAATTAATAGATCAATAACTGAAATGATTTTGTAATAGGTTACAGCTGCGCAAACATTTCTGTACAGCAATAAAACCGTAATCTCTCTCACATCATTCAAGATTGTCTGGCAGTTTGCCATTCTTTCATGCAATAATTTGATTTGACCAGGAATAGCATCAGCCAATAACAATGCACTGTAGATTCAACCTCAGAAAAACGTCGTCTAATATTGTGATTTTTCATTTCTTCACATCAGTCATCCTTTGAGATTATCAATTTAGTATTAGTTGATAATGAGTTGCCAACAGTTCTGTGCTTTTGGGCTGTATCACTGAAAAATAGATTTTTTTCAATTTTTACTGTGAAGAGGCAAAAATGACTCAAGGGCACCGAAAGCAGAAACCATTCGAAGGGTAGCCTGGCCAGAATGGGGGTTGAAGATGGTCATGTTGATTCACTGCTACAAATTCAATGTGAAGCCCATCAACACATCTTGAATTCACAAATTCAAGTAAATGGAGCCATCAAAATATCTTTTCTCTCAACATTTTAAGTTTACAATGTTTATTATAAGTGGTGAATCAGTGATGAATAATATGGCTTCCATCTCATTCTAGATGGATGCACTGGCAGACAGCTGGGAACTATAGAGGAATAGTGCACAGCACCAAGGAGATATGAAAAGGGAAAACTGTAGTTTCTAAATTATAAGAAAACATTTTAAATTGTTGGATAAAAGAAGCTAAATCGATCAATTCTGCTCGAGTAGATATCTGCATGGATAAAATTTGTAAAGAAAAAGTATTCCATCACAAATTGACCAGTTACTAACTTGCTCTATCAACCCAAAAATAAGTTGATTTATACAGCAACTTCATATAAAAGGAAGTTTCAAAGCACTTCATGTGGTAGATGCAGAGGGAAATAAGTACTGAGCGAAAACATGATTGAAAAGTATGTTTAGACCTTCCTCTTCAACCGTGCATATGGCCACCTCCCCTTTCCCCCAGGCTCGACAACAAACCACCATCGTCAAGCGCTCCAAGACACTACTCTGCATGAAGGGCGCTATATAGATGCAAGTTGTTGTTGTATAGTGAGGGTTTTGTAGGCAGGGAATGAGATAGCAACAACTTCTATTTACATAGTACTCTTTGGGTAGGGCAATGTCTTGAAGTGCTTTACAAACATAGGCTCCAATGCCAAACAGGGAGTGGGAGGGTGGGAAGAAAGGTGGAGGCATCCATGGGGGTGGACAAACAGGTATGATTTTAAGATGGAACTTAAAGGCAAAAAAAAGGGGTGAGTCAGAGGGGGTAGAGTGGGTGAGGGGAGTTCCAGAGTATAGGGCTATAGTTGCTGATGGTGGAGTGGAGGGGGCAGAAGGCACGTAGCACAGGACAACACTATGGTGCAGAATATTGGTGTATAAGACCATTACATCATGGTGCATGAGGTTTGTACCCATTTCCACAAATAGCACATTTCTAATCACAGCCTTGTTGTTGTGGGAGGTAATAGTGAGAGGACCATGTTTTATTTCCCCGCCAGAAAGTGGTGTGGGAGGGAGAAAGAATGGGGAGCAAAGAGGATTTTTTTTTTTTTTTAAATCTTATCTGATAGATGACATCAGGTTGCCAGATTAAAGAAGGCGTCCAGTTCATAGTACACGCTCCTCAGCAAAGTTCCATAAACAACAACATAGGGTTGGATGCTGAGCAAAGAAGGGAAGTCGGGAGATCAAATAATTTTTTTATTAGTAATAAAAATCCCTGCATTTAATATAGCATCTTAGCACATCATCAAGATGTATCAAAGCGTTTCATGGGATTTACTATAAAGTGGTATGACAGTATGTATTTTGGGGATAAATGCAGCAGCCACTTTTGCGAAAAAGCAATGTCTCACAAACAGCCATGAAGTGAAAGACTGATTTTATTTGGTGAATTGTTAGCCAGGAAACCAGGAGAAATTTACTTCTCTTTTCAAATAGTGCCATGGGATCTGTAACATCCACCTGAAATGGCAGACAGGATCTCAGTTTAAAGGGCGGAGACCTTTGACAATGCAGCACACACCCCTAGCATTACAATAGTGTCAGGATAGAAAATGGTTCTTACCTCGGACGTGGGGTTTGAACCGACAAACTTCTCGGAAAGGCGAGAGTGCTAATAACTGAACCAAACTGATTTAAAGTCAGAGGGGTAAAGAGACTTGGCACAAAGGAGCTGGGAGACACTCAGTAGAGCAATTAGCCAAGCGCAGGGGGTGAGCAGAGACCTTGAAGTTGATCTTTAGGAGACAGAGACAGCGGAGCCGAGTGAGGACTGCAGGGATAGGTATGCAGAGTTTGGTGCAGGTGAGGATGCAGAGTTTGGGATGAGCTAGAGTTTTGAACTAGGTGGACATGTTAGGAGTGTATCTATAAAGGTAATAAAGACATGCATGAGGTGTTAGGTGGTGTCTGGTGTGAGATAGGGCAAAAGTGAGCAATGTGAGAAAGATAAAAACAAATTATACTGGTCCCAGATGCTCAATACACAAAATCACACCTCGTCCCCAAGATGCAATCACCTCTGTCACCGCGACTCTCATCCATCCAAAACACTCAAGACACCCACACAGTCCCTCTCACTTATAATCGCACAAAAACACCCACACCCATTGACCTTCGTCTCACACATTCAACAAACTGTTTCACCTGGATTATGCTCACTGAATAAATAATGAATGACACAGGCGCCACTTTGGCTCAGTTGAAGGCACTTCTGGATTAGAAGGTTATGGGGTACAGTGGTGTCTGGTGTGAGACAGGGCAGAGGTGAGCAATGTGGCAAAGATAAAAATAAATTATACTGGTCCCAGATGCGCAATACACAAAACCACACCTAGTCCCCGAGATGTAGAGTCCTGTAGCTCTGTGGTTAGAGCGCTCGCCTCGCAAGAGACTACCTGGGCTTGATTCCTGGTAGGGCAAAACGTTGGGCACATTTCATTACTCCGCATACCTGTTTACCTCGCAGTAAGTAGGAACCCGGTTGTTAGTCGATTGGCTGATTGCTTTTCCAGAGGTAATAATTCCTTCAAAAAAATTGTTTACTTCAATCCATGACTGTTTGTGGGACACTGCTGTGCACAATTGGCTGCCACGTTTCACCCACAAAATATACAGTCAATTCACTTTACAGTATATTCTGTGAAGCACTTTGATACATCAAGGACGTGATAAAGCGCTATCTCAAAGGAATACACATTGAGATTGAAATTAATAATTGCACTCCAGAAAGGTTCTGGGTAAGCAACATTGCAAGTGTCAGAGTTGCTGTCCTTCAGATTGATCATTAAAAACAAACTGTATCTTCTTGCACCACTGGCTCCCCATCACCAAATGGATCTACTTAAAGATCCTCACACTTGTGTTCAAATCCCTTCACTCCCTGGCACCTCGCTCTCCGACCTCCTCACTTCCCAATACACCACCCAGCACCACCATTTGACTGGCACCGGCCTCCTTCTTGTCCATCACACCCTCCGCTCCACCAGTAGCGGTTGCGCATTCAGCAGCTACGCCCCAAAACTCTGGAACAGTCTCCTTCAACCCCTCCACTTTGCCTCCTCTCCCCCCTTTTTCCAAGTCCCGCCTGAAAACCTTCCTTTTTGACCGTGCTTGTGGTCACGTCCCCTGCCCAACTCGGACTTGACTTCACAGATGATATATCAAATGCAAGCTAAATTAATTTGCCAACAGATCACGGAGTTGCGTAAGAGCTGAAGTTAAAATAAAACAATGGACTCTATATTAATTGATAAAATAATGGACTCTGCATCCAAAGGTATTGAACCATTGCTTTGAACCTGAACAACTATCATTGCAAGCTTCGACTTGACTCAAACTTTACTACTCTAAATATGGCTCATAAATTACTTCTGCTAAACCGTAACAAACAGGTTGTTCTAAGTGGTTGATTTCACCACCTCAGTGATTCAATTAAACAAAACGTAAACTGTCTGAAAACTGGCTATTTCCAACATGGACAAGATTATATATATGGTTTGCATATAAAGCATTTGCAACAATTCAACCAATAATGGGCTTAATTAGCCAGAAAGGAGAATGTGAGTGTGAAGGAATATGTGCTTCATTTCTGCTTTAATTTGGTTGCTTTCAATATTGTGCAACAACAGCAGTAAGTTACATTTATATAGGGCCCTCCACACGGGGGTAGCAACTCGGCGCAAAGCGGAGTGCAAACCAGTGAATGTCAGCTTCGGTGCCACATGCACTCACTGACAAATTGCTCCAAATTTTCAAACAGTATCTTTCTTTCTTCACCCTCCATTTTCTTTTTCTGAGGACATGTACATCCCATGAGAACAGACCATCGATTGCTTTCATACTGCCGCTGATGGCTACAAGTCCATAAAATAGATAAGTCCATTGAGAACCAAATTTGACACCAAATTGTTTTGTAGTGGCATTTTTGCCTTTTTTAGTGTCATAAAATGGGTACATGCAAAAAAGAAGAGGGGCGGGTGGTGTGCAGGAGGTTGGAAGAAAAATAAAATAAATAAAAAAATAAATAAAACACGTTCTCAATTCCTCTGCCCTGCCCCCTCCTTCCACATATTCAGCATGTGCCTGAAGACCTTTCTCTTCGACTGTGCTTACGGTCACCCCCCTCCGGCTGGGCATTGCGCTATGTCACCGTAACCCACTCTGAGACGCTATCCTACGTGAGGGGTACTACATACATGCAAGTTGCTGTTGACGAATTGCTGAGTTCTTATTGCGGGCGGCACCTAAATCATTAACCAACTGTGCATTTGCAATATTTTGATTTCTTTATTTTAGTTGATGTAATATTGTGGTTTGATATGGGAAGGTCATTGGACAAATGAAGTCAAATAATTATATAGTTTTGGGGCTGACATGAAGCACTGGCCGAGTGTCCCATACCGACGTAGGGAAAAAGAATGTTACCAAAACAAGTTAAATCATCAACGCTCAAAGCGTTGCAAATCAAAACATTTTTGGATCGAGTAAAACTGCTCTAACGAAAAGGAAACAGATTTGTATACAGTATAAAAATAAGATTGCCTGCGTTTCCATGGAGTACTAGAAGGACTGGGTCGCCATCTAGTGGACAAATGTGGTTAAAACAGTTACAATTTGTTTCAAGTGACACAAACGTAAAATTATTTTGTAACACATTTTGGCAGGTATATGCAAACCTATTACTTTCTCTCAAGAACTGATACAGCATATGAGCACGAAACAAGCTTTTTTCAATCTTTGATGTGACATTGTTCTACATTTGCTCCAGAATTTGTTGACTACCATATTTCAAAGAAACCATCAACACCCTCAGTAAGTAAGAGCATTTCAAAGGTTGAACAGGGAGAAGGAGCTTAGCTTTGAAAGCTTACTGGAAAACAAATCTGAAAGTTAAACAGGAGTCTTACCTTCAATTTGCAATTCTGCAGCTCCACTCTTAGGGAATTGCATTCCCATTTAAAAACCTCCAACTCTTGCTTGAGAGCATGCACCATCGATTCGTTAATTGCTTTCTCCTTGTCCCATGAATTCTGAGTTCTGTGCAGAGAGTCCATCACTACCCAATAGCAAAAATAAACACACCATAAAACATGGTTTCTCTGTCAAAACTTCAGATATATATTTCACCCACAAAATATAGTCAATTCACTTTACAGAATATTCTGTGAAGCACTTTGAGACATTTCGAAGATGTGATCAGGTGCTATATCAAATGCAAGAATTATTATTATTATAATATCAAGGATCCTTTTCAATAATGCATCAGATCTGCATGCATCAATAATTAAATCATTTTATCAGAAACATTTGATTTAAATTCTATCATTAGATTTCACCGCCAATTTTTTTTCAAAACAATATATCAGCCGATGCAGTGAATTAGGTTGTGTACCTTGATGAGTTTCAACTTCACTTCGGAGTTGAAGAACCTCTACTTCTTTGGCCTGTAGAGTTTCATTCAGAATTCTCACAGAATCCATCTGCTCCTGGATCTTTGCAAAATACACAACATGTTCTGTCAATAACATGCAACAGAGAATAAAAAAAACAACATGCCTTAACTAACTCTTCCAGGAGCCATAGCTATAGAAATATAGTCATCCGCAATGGCTCAGTGAGTTTATCCAGTGAGTAGCCGAGTCAAACAGACTAGGAAGAACCGAGATTCTATTTCCTGCCTGTACTGCAATAGCTGATCTCAGCGAGATGGCATTAAGGGGAAGTTTAGAGATTATCTCAGCAGCCTCAGATTGGGCAAAGGAAACACAACTTGGATTCCTTGTTCTGATCACGATCGACCAACCGCTCCCTGCTGGAGGTACATCTTTGTAGATGTCGAGAAGGGAGCTCAAGGTTGCCCTACACGCCTCCACAGATAAACAGCTTGCCAACACTCACTGTCCAGGCTCCTACAAGAACAATGACGTTCATGCACGGTATTCCTGTCTATTGGAATGCAGTTCCATGTTGCTCTGGTACACAAGGAACCACATTCCTGTAGACACAGTTGTCCAAAATCGGTGAAAAAAGATGAGAAGTTCCACACACTGATTGGAAGTAGACCTCACTGGCCCAACTAGAAGCTAAGGAACACCTGCACTACATTGTAGATATAGGCCTAACTATATAGCAGAACACAAAATGTCATACCAAGCCTAATTTTAATTGATATTAAAATATATTCTTGTGGACACTGTAGCACCTGGATTTTTATCCTGGACACTTATTGCAAGCTTGCGAGGACGTGCTGAAGATTAATCTAAATTTCAAGACCATATAATGGAATGCTGTTTATTTGTATAGGTCTCTGAACCGGAAGCTCGGATGCATGACCTTCAAAATACTGGTAAAAACACTGGTTGTGTTGGAGTCCTGTAGCTCAGTGGTTAGAGCACTCGCTTTGCAAGCGAGAGACCTGAGTTCAATTCCAGGCAGAGGGCGAAACCTTGGGCAAGTTTCCTTACTCCACACGCCTAATAATAATCCCTCCAAAACCAAAAACAATAATAAATTGGTCATTTTCAATCTACGACTGTTTGTGGGACATTGCTGTGCGCAATTGGCTGCCGCGTTCGCCCACAAATATACAGTCAATTCACTTTACAGTGTGTTCTGTGAAGCGCTTTGGGACGTCCTCCCGACGTGAAAAGCGCTATATCAAATGCAAGGATTATTAGGATTATTATTGTATGAGGTTTCTACGGAAACTCTGATAATTGCTAAGAAATGCTAAGAACATCACAGCCTACTTGGGACCTGCCAACAAAAATACTGTAGTGTGCATGTGCAAAGTTTCTAAAGAAGCTAACAATACAAAGTTGTGCACGTGATTGATGGGAACTTGATGTCTCCTCCACAATACTAATAACCTTCCACACGTGTATGTGCACAACTTCATACAAATATTGTTTTGCTGCTATCGATGATGTCTTAACATTTTTACATTACAGTTTACAGTTAGAGATGGATATATTGTAGAGAAAGAGATAGATTGTAGGAGGGACTCAAAGAGAGAGAGATAGAGAGGCAAAGCAAGAAAAAAAGTGAATGATGAGAGTCAGAGAGAGTGGCAGAGACACACAGATGAGAGAGAGAGAGAAGGGCTGTTACAATGTGGTACTACAGTACAATTCTTGATGGAATTTTTTAAAGTAAGTTCAGTAGCCAATTTGTTTTTTAGGTGATGTCCAATTACTGGCTTACCGGACTGTGGGTATCCGGAAATCGTAGCTAGTCAGATGGGGCTGAAATGGGACATTTTTTTTTAATTCCGTGGGGCCCATGGTGTGTAAAATGCCAGTGATCTCACTCTCCAAGTATGTGCCCTGCCTCACAGTGCTCGCTGGCCTTCAGTGGCCAGACAGGGATATTGACTTTTGACTCAGTTTGAACTCCGGGAGCATAAGATAGCTTGTTCAAACAATCGCAATGCCGGGACCAGCATTTACTGGCATTTTTCGACACTGAAAAAAGTCAGTGTCAAAAAAAAGCTGGTAAAAATCTGTACTGGCATTGCAATTACACTGAATAAGAAATTCCGGTTGCTGGACCAAATGTCCTCGCCACTGGTCCAGCCAATTGAGGTCTTAATGTAACTGCAATGTCTGCACATCTGGAAAAATATTATAAATGAGTTTCTCTTTCGCTTTTACATCAACCACGTTAAAAACTTCAACTTCTTGGTGTATATCCTCACAGCTCAATAAATGATAGATACCATTTTTTCCAGTTTCTGTTTCATCTTATCTCTCTCAATACGGACTTCCCGATAGGCCTGGAAAGCTTTATTCACTTGTTCATCTCCCAGTGATCTTTTTTCATTGTCAACAGAAGTGCTGAGAAGCTAAAGATATAGAAAAAAAACACTTTAGAAAAAAGAGACACTTTTCTTTTGGGCAGTAATTCATTTACTAATTCTTACATTTAAGCGCTCCAAGTGAAGGGTGCAAGAGGGGGAGGGTCTGTACACCGTTGCCTCAAGAACAATCACAAAATTATGAAAAATATGACTGCACCCAATGGAGTGCAGTACAATAGTGTAACTTGCATCAGAAAATGCAACACTGACTTTAAAATGAGCTACTAAAATGGCATAAAAGAAATACAAGAAATGATACAGGTTAACAGAAACAGGCTACCCTTCCTTCCAAGGACCGGGCTCGTTTCTTCAGAGCAGAATTTTCGTTTTCCGTTTCCTTCAGTCGTTTTTTAATGTCTTCGTATGCTGTGACAAGTGCAAAATGGGAAGCAACGGATTCATCTCCTGAAGAAGTTGCAATTGGGCTATCCCTGAAGTGTACTGCCTCAGGGCTTGCTTCTTCGTGGTTCAGAATAGAGATATCATCTTCCACAAGTAACCCTTCCATGATCAATGTTTCATGGAAACGATATCTCTGCCGCCAGCCGGGCTACACAGGCTACTTATCAAAGCTGGTAAAAACAAAAAGAACAAAAAACACAGAAAATTATTTTTTAGCAGGATTAATTCACCACACAATAATTACAAAACAAGCCGTACAGAAAATACAAGAGAGGTAAAAAAGAGAAAAGGCCAAATGCATTTAGTCAGTGTTATCCTCTTCCTACATTGTTCCCAAACCTCTCTCTGCTGAATCAGCAATCTGTCTTATTTTCAAGACAGAACTTATTTCTCTCACAACAAACAGTATAGTAACAGGTACATTCTCCTCGCTCTATGAGTTGGGCATCTCAACTGCACTTTTGTAGGTGTCTGCTAAGCCCACGAAGGGGGTGAAAGAGTACCACCAAAATTAAAATCTCTGAAATACTTATCACAGATCCAAAATCAAGTGGATCTAAAGTCCTATCTCCACCTGATGACTATAGACGCACACTTCTGCTATGTATAGTTTTAAATGTAGTATGTTGCTAATATAATACGAATCCAGAAGATCAAGCTCGGCCTGGGATCATTTTATAATGTGCATATGCTATCCGTAGCAACGACAAATTAATTATTCCAAACTAAAGTCTCTGAGCAATTAGTTTTTGCTGCCAAAGCTGTCAGAGATCAACCAAATAAATACACTCGACACGACCTGAAACACACCCATTTATCCAGAAATGTGTTCATTGTCTTTCACATCTTAAAGTAGGATTGACCTCTTCAACAGTCAATAGGCCATCAGATTGCAAAAGTGGCTATTGGTAAACACAGCAGATGGGTTTACAAAGGAAAACACAACGGCTGCAGCAGATTAGGCCCCAACGTCACACGCAATACTATTCTTATAATATCGTTTATCTGTCAACGAGTCTGGGGGAGGTACAGAGCGAAGGGGCAAGATCTGGTATAGGAAACATCAGTCTGAAGTCACACACAGCACAACACGGTGTTAAACAGTTGGATTCAGCAGCTCTCAATTGTCAGAAACCACGTCAATAGGCCCTCTCTATTTAGAGTCCATACTCAGCTCTTTGCAAAACCAGTTTCATCGATTAAAGAGCAGAATGAAAGTGCTACAGTCACTTAGACCATTGTGATATTCCAGCAGTTTCTGAATAACTAACTACAGGCATATGACTGTCAATGGATATAAAATACTCTGACAAAATGCCGTTGAGTCAGCATTAACGGGTGGAATTTTTTAAAATCTGTTTAGTCATTGGGATGTCCATAATCCTGAAACAAAAGAAATCTACATAAACCTCAACGTGAATAATAATAATAATTCTTGCATTTAATACAGTGTCTTATCAAGTCTTCGATGCATCTCAAAGCACTTCACGGAATATACTGTAAAGTGTAGTGACTGTACTTTGTGGGCAAAATGCAGCAGCTAATTGCGCACATCTGTGTCCCACAAACAGTTGTGGATTGAGTGACCAAATTATCATTATTTTTTTTGAAGGAATTATTACTGGCCATTTATTCCATTGGAATTAAGTTATTTTTATTTTTAAAAAATAATAAAACAATGTTCCACAATATTTTTAAAACCGATCATTGTCTTCTTTGCCTTCACTGAATCTTTCTCAGCTGAAATCCCTATGACGTAATGTTTAAATCATCGTTCAACCTAATATTCTCTATAATCATAACACAGGTTAAGATTTGAAGCATACAATTTGGGGACTGAAATCATGCCAATGGATACATGGTGAGTTACTATCCAACCATGTTTCCACGAGGAAAGATCAAGCAGAAGATAGACACTTCCATACAGGCAACAAGTAAAGCACTTCTCGTGGGCTGCCAGAATGGCAATGATAAATATCTTGCAGCAGGTTACTGCCATCAGCTTGTAATAACACTGAAGTCCAAGTGAATAGGGGTCAAAAGAGCAACTCTTATTTAAAAATACTATTACTCTACATTTTCACATCAAAAAAATAAAAGCGTAACCTCTTTCTGCTGCTTCTCCAGACTGTACATATTTCCCAAATCAAATGGACAGGAAAGTGATGTTTCTCTGCTTATTAAATTCTGATTTAATCATTGGGCATTAAGCTACAACCAGGGTGATTTGTTTTGATGTTCCTCCCATCCTTGCGATCTATGCTATAGATCGTATCATTAGCACTTTAGCATAGTTAAAGTTTTGAAGAAATTTATACTGAGAAGGACGAGTAAAAGAGATCATCATAGACTTATACAGCACAAAATGGAGGCCAATCAGCCCATTCTGTCTGCGCCGGCTCTTCGAAAAGCGCATCCAAATCAATCCCACCCCTCCGCATTCTCCCCATAGCCCTGAAAACTTGTCCTCCCCGTGTTTTGAGAATATTATCCAAAGGCGCAAATAAATTAGGTTTTTAAAGGAGGTTTTTGAAAGCAGGGATTTATGGTACAAGGTGAAAGGATTTGGGGTGAAAGTTCCAGAGAATGTGGACAGACACCGTGTCTGAAAGCTCCTCTTTCAATAATAGGATGAAGCAATGGACGAGCAGTTGGCCCAATTGGGGAAAATGAAGTGACATGCAGGACCACTGGACTTGAGGAGACTGCGTCAATCTCGGAAGTAGGATGCGGCGAGAGGACAAGGACTTGGAACTTCAAGACGAGGATTTTGCAACTTGGATAAGGGTTTCAGACTGCACTGAGGATGAAATAGGGACACAGGTGAGTAATGTTCTGAAAATAAATTAAGTGCTTTTGCTCAAAGAAAGATCTACGATTTGAGAACCAGGTGTAGTCCTTGAACTGGATCTGATCTTGAAGTGCAATGCACTGGCACACTATGAATTTGCCTGCTACTGTAAGCGATGATGGACAATTTATTATTAGCTGATTACAATGAAAACAATCTAAATTCTACAAAATCGCCTTTTGGATCGAAACCGTCGCCGACCCAATGATTCTAATGAGTTGTGACATTGCAAAGATTATTCAGCATTGTTCAGGACCGTGATATTTAATACAAGTAACTACTTTGTTTCACAAATAGTATGGGCCAGAGGTTCCCAAACATTTTATGTTCCTATGACCACCGCCCTCCCCAACCCTACTCTTTGGAGATTCAAGTGCCACAGATCTCAGAAGCACATTGGCAGGTTCTCTCCCAGCCTCGTGCCACTCTCAGTAGCTGTGCATCTGCACTCTCACCTTGTTTCTGACCCGGTTGGTGCGCTCTCTCTTGCACTGTGAAAGCCGGTAACCATATAATAATAATAATAATAATAATCCTTGCATTTGATATAGCGCTTTTCACGTCGGGAGGACGTCCCAAAGCGCTTCACAGAACACACTGTAAAGTGAATTGACTGTATATTTGTGGGCGAACGCGGCAGCCAATTGCGCACAGCAATGTCCCACAAACAGTCGTAGATTGAAAATGACCAATTTATTATTGTTTTTGGTTTTGGAGGGATTATTATTAGGCTCTGTGTGGAGTAAGGAAACTTGCCCAAGGTTTCGCCCTCTGCCTGGAATTGAACTCAGGTCTCTCACTTGCAAAGCGAGTGCTCTAACCACTGAGCTACAGGACTCCATATAAGCCAGCCAGACTGGTTTAAAAACTAGCCAGGTGGCAATGCTAACGCACCCCCCCACCCCACCCCGATAACCGCGTCACATCCTCTCAGTGGAGCACACCCCACAGTTTGAAAACCCATATGGCATAGACATCAGAAATCTACTCATTCACATTTCTGGTTTCTCTTAAGCTACAGGTGGACTGAAATTCCAGTCAGCATTGCACACAGTATCTTTTGACAATATCAGAAATTAATTTTCCTATTTATAATCATGCATCGCCAAAGACACTTTTTCCTGACCTCCCTTTCCCTGAATGCTGACTTCTTATGAAAGCTATTTTACCTTTACTTACTTAGACAGCAATAGTGCACATTACAAAAAAAAAACTTGGGAACAAAGTGAATTTCAAAATAAAAAAGATCAAAACTAACCAATTGATATAGTCTCCGTACTATGATTACAAACAATAGTATGTTTTTCAATGTATTTTACAGTGCTTATGAACAGGACTATACTTCCACTTTCATTCATAAGAACCCAAGAACATAAGAAATGCTCAATGAAAAAAAGACCAAAGTCCATCTAGTTCGCCTTCCACCTGCCTGGTGGTGGCTTGCACATATGTCATGAACTACCTATATATACTATAACTACTATATCCTAGAATATTATTTCCTAAAAGAAAACTATCTAATCAACATTTCCTGCTTCAACCACCTCCATCGGGAGCCTGCTCCATATTCAATCCTTGTTGTTCCCGTAAAGTGTATAGGTAACTTAGTACAAGTGGCTCAGAACAGAAAGTACAACAGGTGGAATAAAGAGTTATACCAGAGATAATGGTTATAAATTAATATCTCCATAGAGGATAGTAAAAGTGTAAATAGAACCTCAACAAAACTGTACTACAATAATCCGTGGCTAAAATTATCACATGTTCAGCATTTGCACAATAAAATTTTTGCTTCAGTACTTTAACCATAAGGGTAAACCCAACAGAACGTATACGTCTGAATTTCTGTTGATAAGAGTGGTTTTCACGGCACACAAAGTGCATCAATCACACCCTATAGCTGTTTCCAGGAGTAACTGGCGGCTCAGTACAATGCAGCTTATCCATATCAGATGCAACTGGGTTCACAATTCTTCCGCTGTGAAATTCATATCCATATTTCGACAGGAATACCTCCTGCTGATTAAGTCACACAATTACATTAATAGCAAGAGCACAGAGCCACCTGATGAACATATCATCATACACTTCTAACTAAAGGTCAATTCTATCCCATCATTTAAATACTACTGTTTTAATAGTCTTCCAGAATAACTTCCTCAAACATATCACTCTCATTTGCATAAAGTATATAATGATAGTGGAACAAGCTCTGCAGTACATTGATCAATACCACAGTCAATGCTGAACCACAGACCATATTGCACACATACTTTGTGTATTTAACACTCAAAATAAATAGTAATGACATTACTACTAAAAGAGCTTGAAGCAATGTAAGATGGCTAGTGCCGCAACTATTCTTGACGCAGAGAGCCTTTCAGGCAAAAACGCGACAATGTGGTAGACGCAAAATGGAAATAACATAACTGACACAGAAAGACATCTAAATATCCCATTTAGTTAACATATTATTTGGATCCAATAGTTCAGTTATACTGCACACTCTACTTCAATTTGGTATGTGTAGGAAGAGTTTAAACATAGGTCAGAGAGAAATCACCACTACAAAGTCATTCTGATAAAGTGATGCAAGTCGTAGGGCTGGAATTAGATTTCCGAATGTACATCACTTTCAATCTGGAGTAAATTTAAATAACAACAACTTGCATTTACATAGCACCCTTCACACGAGGTAACGTCTCGGAGTGCTTTACAGTGGTGGAGTCTGACCCCGAGTCAAGGGGAGAGGGAGGGGGGAGGTGACTGTAAACCCGATCAAAAAGGAAGGTCTTTAGGCAGGATTTGAAAGTGGGGAGGGATGGGGCAAGGCGAAGGGATTGAGGGAGAGAGTTCCAAGGTTTCGGGGCATAGTGGCTGAAGACACGGCCACCATTGGTGAAGTGGAGGCGACGAGGGACAAACAGGAGCCAGCCGAGCGGAGGCAGTGGGCGCTGGAGTGGGGACGTGAGCAGGTTAGAGAGGGAGGGAGGGAGGTGCGAGGTCATCAAGGGATTTGAAAACAAGTGAGAGGATCTTGAAATCGATCCGCTTGGTGATTAGAAGCCAGTGGAGCCTGGCAAGGACTGGTGTGTTTTATGTGGGTGCGTATCTGGGCGGCGGAGCGCTGAATTAGTTGTATTTTGTGTATGGCGGAGCTGGAATGGGGGACCAGCGAGGCGGCAACAGAACAAACCAGCCTGGAAGTGACAAAGGCATGGATGAGGGTTTCAGCTGCATCGGTTGTGATGTATAGATGGAGACGGATACGCAATGTGGCAAAGCTGGAAAAAAGTAGTCAGGGAACAGATGTGGGGTAGAAAGGAAAGCTGGGGATCGAACCTGACGCCTTAGTTGCATCCGGGTTCAGTGAGTCTGAGGGAGAGCCTGGGGAGGTTGAAGAGTTCAGACTTATAGGAGAGAAGACATTGACAGGAACCAAAGACTTTCTGATATTCAGCTGCAGGAAATTTACGCTCATCCAGGCTTTGATGTCCGCTGATAGGGCATCAGCAGACTGGGATTCGCAGCTGGAGAAGTAGATTTGGGCATCCTCGTACATGTGGAAGTTGACCCCAAGTTGATGGTTATAATGCTTAGAGCAAAGGAGATTTAGTGACAATTAAATTGAGGCATTTAAAATAAAGAAAGGAATTGCCATGTCAAATAGCGGGCAACACTTCCCTCTGGTAGGGGAATCCATTACAAGGGGCCATAGTCTTAAAATTTGAACTAAGACTGTAGGAACTGAGATCAGGAAGCATTTCTTCAAACAGAGGGTTGTGAATATGTGATAAGGTGTGGAGCCGGAATCAATAGGAATGTTGAAAAGATTGATTTTTAAACATATTTTGGTCAGCTGGTTGTCTGACACATGCGGAAATCCATAACCACGCTTAAGCGTATCCGAACCAGACTGAGATTTCCGTGCATCTCACCTACGTTTGGAAATCCCAGAGATAGGGATTAGTTGGAATGGAATGCGCACTCTCCCTGGTGGGACACATCCTGTTTACCTAATTCTGGAAGGTATTAGGGTGCAGGTTGGCAAAAGCCATAGCTTGGGAAACCCAGAGTGTGGGTTGGGGTACTGCTGGAGCCTAACCGGCTAACCCGCCATTGATATCGCTATCTGGCAAGTGACTGGTCTGCCCTTCCAAGTCCTGCCGATGAGCCAGGCTGGGTGTGCTGTCATCAGCAGTGCCCCGGGATACTGCGGACCTACCTTGATCAGGAACCGGACTACCGAGACTCCCACAGAGGGCCGGATTGATTCCGACATTCCATTGCTAGGAATGTCACCTTGGAGCCAGTTCAACTCCAAGGAAACCCCGCTTACCTCCCTCCAAGGAGGAAAGTCACTAATTGGTCCTTCAACATCCGACAAGCACAGGTTTGAGCCCTCACTAGGTGGATGGTAGGTACAAGGAACTCCCTGTGAGCTTTCCGGTGGGCAACACAGCTCACCATGAAATGTGTGAGAGTATTGCCACCATCTTCCTGTCCACCGCTCGGGCACACATCCTTCCCATTGAGCAATGGTTCCACCAATTGGATATGAGTTTAAGAAACAGCTGCTTGATACGTGAATTGAAAGGTATGCTAAAAGGGCAGGGCACTGAGATTAATAGATCTGTCTGGTGAACAAGCTCAATGGGGTGAACGTCCTCCTTTGATTGTTGTTTTCCTATGTTTCTAAATCGAGTATAGCTATCCCAAAATTGTATTTATTCTCTAGTTTGCACCACTAAAGCGGAGATTGGGGGCACATTGTGGGGTGGACCTCAGCACTCGGGGGCACATTTGGGAATTTCCACAAAAAAAAATTCAACATCAGTAGCAAAGTAGAATTAAAATCCTGAGATTTTATCTCCAATGATATTTCGGCACAAGATCTATCCTGACACTGACATTAATGTAAGACCAGCGAAATACTTGTCAACAGACAACAACAACAACAAGATTCTATTTATAAAGCGCCTTTCATGTCGGGAGGACGTCCCAAAGCGCTGGACAGTTGGGTCATGACCCGAGCGTCAGGGGGGAAATGGTCAGGGTGAGGGGAGGGAGGGAGGGAGCGAGGAGGGGGGAAATGGTCAGGGGGAGGGGAGGGAGCGAGGAGGGGGTAGAGAGTCGAGAGGGGAGCTGAAGGCACGGTCAAAGAGAAGTGACAGACAGTGACACAGACACACACAGTGACACACACACACAATGACACAGACCCAGTTACACAGACACACACAGTGACAGACACAGTGATACAGACAGACACAGTCACACACAGTGACACAGACAGTGACACAGACACAGTGACACAGTGACAGACAGACACAGTGACACAGACACACACAGTGACACAGACAGTGACACAGACGCAGTTACACCGACACAGTGACAGACACAGTGACACAGACAGTGACACAGACACACACAGTGACACAGACACCAACAGTGACACACAGTGACAGACACAGTGACAGACACAGTGATACACAGTGACACAGTGACAAACACAGTGACAGACACAGTGACAGACACAGTGATACACACAGTGATACACAGTGACACAGTGACAGACACAGTGACACAGACAGTGACACAGACACACACAGTGACACAGACACCAACAGTGACACCCAGTGACAGACACAGTGACAGACACAGTGACAGACACAGTGACACCCAGTGACACCCAGTGACAGACACAGTGACAGACACAGTGACAGACACAGTGATACACACAGTGATACACAGTGACACAGTGACAGACACAGTGACACAGACAGTGACACAGACACACACAGTGACACAGACACCAACAGTGACACCCAGTGACAGACACAGTGACAGACACAGTGACAGACACAGTGACACACAGTGACACCCAGTGACAGACACAGTGACAGACACAGTGACACACAGTGACACCCAGTGACAGACACAGTGACAGACACAGTGACACACAGTGACACACAGTGACACAGTGACACAGTGACAGACACAGTGACACACAGTGACACAGTGACACACAGTGACAGACACAGTGATACACACAGTGACAGACACAGTGACAGACACAGTGACACACAGTGACACAGTGACGGGCTGTGGCTGTCGGGAAGCTCAGGCTCCGGTTGTTGCTGTAACGCGGCCTCCGCCCCGCGGCCACACTTTGCAGAAGGTGCACAGTGAGGGGGGGGTCCCCTCCCCCTGTGACAGCCCGTCAGTCCCCCTCTCCCCCCCTCTCCCCTCTCCCTCTCTCTCCCCTCCTCACCTCTCCTCGCGCCGCCACATCCACCCGCGACCGTTGACCAGGAAAAGGCCTCTCGCCGCGACCTTCGACCCGCAACCTCCCACCGCGCAGGCGCCGAGCCTCCGCCGCACGTCACGGGGGGGGGCGGGGTCAGAACCTCGCGCGGTGACGCGCCCCCGGCCCCGCCTCCCTTTGTCCCTTTGACGCCTGTCAATCACCGCGGCCTGTCAATCAAAACGGGGTGACCCAGTAGATGTCACCAGAGCTCACAGGAGGACAAGATTGGTGTGTGGATAAAGAAGGCCCTTCAACCCATCCATCAACACCATCAACCTCACTAACCCCCCCCTCCCCACACACACACACCCTCACAACATCACAGCATCACCCTCTGCTTTAAATGAGTCCAGTGCACTGGCCTCTACTGGCAACCTGTCCCAGTCATTGGATATATATAATAATAATAATAACCTCCCGGTGTCTTGTCTTGAAATTACCCTTCAAAACTCCAAATGTATGTCCACTTGTTCTGCTGTCTGGAGACATCCTGAAGTTTTGATCCGGGTTTACTCTTTCAATCCCGTCTAAAGTTTTATATATCTCCAATGAGGTCTCAACTGAGTTGGATTTCTCTCAAGATGAAGAGCCCTAGCTTATCCAGATGTTGCATACAGCTGATTCCTCTAACACCAGGGATCGTCCTTGTTGCTCTCCGCTTCCTCTTAAATGCATCTGTAATGTCTGATTCAACCACTGCTTCGGGCAGCAAATTCCACAATCTCACTACTCTTTGCAATGAAATAGTTCCCCTAACGTCCCTTTTAGATCTCCTTGTTGCTGTTTTATACTTCTATCCCTGGTTATGGACTCCCCAACCAGTGGAAACAACCGATTTATGCTAATCTTATCAATTCCTTGCCTTTCGCATCTTTTAGCATTTAAAATAAGTTGTTTTACGTTTCAGAAAGAAAACAGTAATGAGCTGAGTCTTATCGTGGTTGTTAAGGAGCAGCTCAATCAATGTTTACCGATATAAAAGCCAAACATCCGAGATAATTGGAAGACAAATGGTGTCTTTATTAAACGATCATTTGACAAGAATGTTTTGGAAAACAAGTATACTTGTTCTATTAATTTAGACTACAATTTGTTGTTACAAAAATGAATCTGTGGAGATTATTCAGTTAAGTACTTTGTAGCAGAATCATGTGTACCAGCACTGTGTACAATTTTTAAAATAAAAATCATAGCGTTTACAATCTCCTACTTGAGTGGAACCCAGTATTTATGATTTAGAAAACAGAATCCTGATGCAAAAAGATTTGTGTTTTTGCCAATATTTTGCAACAAAAAGAACCTTGCATTTATATAGCGTCCCTCATGCAGAGAGCTTTGCAGCCCTGCGTCCACTTTTGCATTCAGGTCTGATATGAATGAATGAAAATGCGTATATTTGCCATGCAGATAAACAATGTTCTACTTTGGCTGATGTGAGAAATTGAGAAATTACAATAGTATCAATGGCATAATCATCTGTGGTATAAAATATGCTTCACTCTCACCACTGACATCTCTTCTTGATGCTGACATCTTGAAAAAGACTAAATTTACAAAAGCAGTTCATTATAATTGGTATCACTGATAAAGGAGTCATTCTATCCAATGAGTCTGTGAGGTCATTGGCACCAGAGGCCCCAGAGGTACCATTGGCATCAATTCATAATGCTGATTGAAGCCAATGCAACAAAGCAAATATTATTTTCAATTGCACAAAAATATTTAAATCTTTAAAATTATAATCCAATTATAGTAATTAACTGCATGTGCAGTAGTTTGAAATTGAGAAAAATACTTCACTCAAAGATCATGCTTGTCAGCTAGTTCTGCAATCAAGCTGTCTGTTCATAATGATAACCTACATTTCCACATCCATGCACATGTGGAGCTCTCAGCAGTTTGGTTTAGAGAGTCTGGTGATGGGTTTCCGCATGTGTCAGAAATGCAGCTGACCAAAAAGGATTGCAGAGATTCACTGTCAATTGGTATTTACAAACAAATTAGTCTAAAAAGTTTTTAAAAATCTTTTCATTTCTGAAAACACCTACATTGATGTGACAAGAAAATAGAGCAAGCTTGAGACTTGAAATTTGAAAGAACTTTAGCTAGACGTCTAGTGGCCATTTCTATTCTGAAAATTAAAACAAAATTCCAGTTATTATTTTTTTTAAATTGCAATTGTGTATCTTTTTGTTTAATTGCAAATGTGTGTCTTTTTGTTGTTGCTACTTTTTTAGGGAAAAAATTATCTAAAAAATGAGGTAGTCAGGTTCCTGAGCCCAAGTGAATCTGCAAAACTCCAGGTCACTGCTGGCGATAGCACAGCGGCCTAATTCATCGGCAGGACTTGGAAGAGCAGACCAGTACCTGGGTCAGGGACTCTTCCCACTCGTCTCCCCGTTAACCCTACAAGCCAAACCCCTAACAGGTAGGCTGAGCTGAGCTAAACAAGCAGCGGGAAAACTTGTCAGGCAATGGCCTCAGTGGCAAACCGTGCAGTTTTAACTGGTTAGACTCCAGCAGTACCCCAACGCACACTCTGGGTCCCCAGGCCTTGGCTCTTGCTAACCTGCACCAAGTCCTTTCTGGAGTTAGGTAAGCAGGATGTGTTTCTCCGGGGAAAACATGTGCACTCCATTCCCAAAAAAAATCTCTGGAACGTCCATGTATCGGTAGAATGCGTGGCACTCTGGTTTGGTTTGGATGCAAGCAAATAAAAACACGAGTGGCCACTGTTTATTTGAGAGTATTGGCAATGAGTGTTGGCAGGTCACTCAACAGTAGAGGGTATCATGACCTTGCCTTGCTTCTCCCCCACCAGGCGACCACACACAGCTGGTAGAAAACTGAATGGTATCAACACTGCAAGTTTCAATAAAATGAATTGTATGAATTAACAATTAACTTTTGCAATTAATAACAATTAAACTGTGTTGTTTAAATGAGATAAGGGAACTTGCGGGTATTGATTCTATAATACAAGGGGCATCAGTCCCAATTATTGATTCGTATCAGTGTCCGAGGGCAGTATATCCAAGTCTGGAACCTTGACATTTTGTTTGATCGGCACAAATTGTGAGTATTGGCAATGAGTGCTGGAGGTCACTCAACAGGAGAGGGGATCATATCTCTTCGAGGGCTCTGGTTATTCTCCTCTCTCTTCATTGACAGCCACAAACCCACAATAAGCAGCTCCACTCCCCCATACACTCCCAACAGCACATATCCACACACACAGCAAGAAAAGCCCTTCACACACACACAGCAATCACCTCCACACACACTCACACACTCACACACAGCAATCACCTCCACACACTCACACACACACACACAGCAATCACCTCCACACACACTCACACACTCACACAGCAATCACCTCCACACACACTCACACACACACACACACACAGCAATCACCTCCACACACTCACACACACACACAGCAATCACCTCCACACACACTCACACACACACAGCAATCACCTCCACACACTCACACACACACAGCAATCACCTCCACACACACACACACAGCAATCACCTCCACACACCACACACACACACACACACAGCAATCACCTCCACACACACTCACACACACAGCAATCACCTCCACACACACTCACACACACACACACACAGCAATCACCTCCACACACTCACACACACACACACAGCAATCACCTCCACACACTCACACACACACACACACACAGCAATCACCTCCACACACACTCACACACACAGCAATCACCTCCACACACTCACACACACACAGCAATCACCTCCACACACACTCACACACACAGCAATCACCTCCACACACACTCACACACACACACACACAGCAATCACCTCCACACACTCACACACACACAGCAATCACCTCCACACACTCACACACACACACAGCAATCACCTCCACACACTCACACACACACACAGCAATCACCTCCACACACTCACACACACACACAGCAATCACCTCCACACACTCACACACACAGCACTCACCTCCACACACTCACACACACAGCAATCACCTCCACACACTCACACACACACAGCAATCACCTCCACACACACTCACACACACACACACAGCAATCACCTCCACACACTCACACACACACACACACAGCAATCACCTCCACACACACTCACACACACACAGCAATCACCTCCACACACACTCACACACACACACAGCAATCACCTCCACACACACTCACACACACACACAGCAATCACCTCCACACACTCACACACACACATCAACACACACACACACACAGCAATCACCTCCACACACACACACACACACACAGCAATCACCTCCACACACACTCACACACACAGCAATCACCTCCACACACACACACACACACAGCAATCACCTCCACACACTCACACACACACAGCAATCACCTCCACACACACACTCACACACACACACACAGCAATCACCTCCACACACTCACACACACACAGCAATCACCTCCACACACACTCACACACACACAGCAATCACCTCCACACACACTCACACACACACACACACAGCAATCACCTCCACACACACTCACACACACACACACAGCACTCACCTCCACACACTCACACACACACAGCAATCACCTCCACACACACACACACACAGCAATCACCTCCACACACACACACACACACACACAGCAATCACCTCCACACACACTCACACACACAGCAATCACCTCCACACACACACACACACACAGCAATCACCTCCACACACTCACACACACACACACAGCAATCACCTCCACACACTCACACACACACACACAGCAATCACCTCCACACACTCACACACACACACACACACACACCTCACACACTACACACAGCAATCACCTCCACACACTCACACACACACACACAGCAATCACCTCCACACACTCACACACACACACACAGCACTCACCTCCACACACTCACACACACACAGCAATCACCTCCACACACTCACACACACACAGCAATCACCTCCACACACACTCACACACACACACACAGCAATCACCTCCACACACTCACACACACACAGCAATCACCTCCACACACACACTCACACACACACAGCAATCACCTCCACACACTCACACACACACAGCAATCACCTCCACACACACTCACACACACAGCAATCACCTCCACACACACTCACACACACACACACACACACACCTCACACACTCACACACACACCAATCACCTCACACACACTCACACACACACAGCAATCACCTCCACACACACACACACACAGCAATCACCTCCACACACTCACACACACACACAGCAATCACCTCCACACACACACACACACACACACACACAGCAATCACCTCCACACACACACACACACACACAGCAATCACCTCCACACACACTCACACACACACACAGCAATCACCTCCACACACTCACACACACACACAGCAATCACCTCCACACACTCACACACACAGCAATCACCTCCACACACTCACACACACACACACAGCAATCACCTCCACACACACACACACACAGCAATCACCTCCACACACTCACACACACACACACACAGCAATCACCTCCACACACACACACACACACAGCAATCACCTCCACACACTCACACACACAGCAATCACCTCCACACACACACACACACACACACAGCAATCACCTCCACACACACACACACACACAGCAATCACCTCCACACACACACACACAGCAATCACCTCCACACACACACACACACACACAGCAATCACCTCCACACACTCACACACACACACAGCACTCACCCACAGCAACACGCATCACCTCCACACACACACAGCAATCACCTCCACACACTCACACACAACAGCAATCACCTCCACACACATCACACAGCAATCACCTCCACACACAACACACAAGCAATCACCTCCACACACACACACACACACACACAGCAATCACCTCCACACACAGTCACTCCACACACCACACACACAGCAATCACCTCCACACACTCACACACACACAGCAATCACCTCCACACACACACACTCACACACACACAGCAATCACCTCCACACACTCACACACACACAGTAATCACCTCCACACACACACACACACACAGCAATCACCTCCACACACACACCACACAGCAATCACCTCCACACACTCTACACACACACACACAAGCAATCACCTCCACACACCACACACAGCACACTCACACCTCACACAACAGCAATCACCTCCACACACCACACACACAGCAATCACCTCCACACACATCACACACACACACAGCAATCACCCCACTCCACACACACAGCAATCACCTTCACACACACTCACAACACAGCAATCACCTCCACACTCACTCACACACACACAGCAATCACCTCACACACTCCACACCACACACACACACACAGCAATCACCTCCACACACCACACACACACACACAGCAATCACCTCCACACACAACACACACACACAGCAATCACCTCCACACACACTCACACACAACACACACAGCAATCACCTCCACACACACTCACACACACACACACACCACAAATCACCTCCACACACACTCACACACTCACCTCCACACTGTCGGTCACGTGTCTCGGGGCTGCGCGCGCTGCTCTGGTGCGGCGGGAATTGTCGAGAACCGAAAGTGAGACGAACACAGTCACTACACTCCTCCACAGTCACTACACTCCTCCACAGTCACTACACCTCCTCCACAGTCACTACACCTCCTCCACAGTCACTACACTCCTCCACAGTCACTACACCTCCTCCACAGTCACTACACCTCCTCCACAGTCACTACACCTCCTCCACAGTCACTACACCTCCTCCACACAGTCACTACACCTCCTCCACAGTCACTACACCCCCCACACAGTCACTACACCTCCTCACACAGTCACTACACCTCCTCCACAGTCACTACACCTCCCCACAGTCACTACACCTCCCCACACAGTCACTACACCTCCCCACAGTCACTACACCCCTCCGCACAGTCACTACACCCCCCACAGTCACTACACCTCCCCCACAGTCACTACACCTCCTCACCCACAGTCACTACACCTCCTCCCACAGTCACTACACCCCCCACAGTCACTACACCTCCTCCACAGTCACTACACCCCCACACAGTCACTACACCTCCTCCACACAGTCACTACACCCCCCACACAGTCACTACACCTCCCCACAGTCACTACACCCCCCCACAGTCACTACACCTCCTCCACAGTCACTACACCTCCTCCACAGTCACTACACTCCTCCACAGTCACTACACCTCCTCCACACAGTCACTACACCTCCTCCACACAGTCACTACACCTCCTCCACACAGTCGCTACACCTCCTCCACAGTCACTACACCCCTCCACAGTCACTACACCTCCTCCACAGTCACTACACTCCTCCACAGTCACTACACCTCCTCCACACAGTCACTACACCTCCCACACAGTCACTACACCCCCCACACAGTCACTACACCCCCCACACAGTCACTACACCTCCTCCACAGTCACTACACCTCCTCCACAGTCACTACACCTCCTCACACAGTCACTACACCTCCTCCACACAGTCACTACACCTCCACACAGTCACTACACCTCCTCCACAGTCACTACACCTCCTCCACACAGTCACTACAGCTCCTCCACAGTCACTACACCTCCTCCACAGTCACTACATTCCTCCACAGTCACTACACCTCCTCCACACAGTCACTACACCTCCCCCACACAGTCACTACACCTCCTCCACAGTCACTACACCTCCTCCACAGTCACTACACCTCCTCCACAGTCACTATACCACCCGCACTCACACACAGTCCACTACACTCTCCCCACACAGTCACTACATCCTCCCACCCACACACAGTCACTACACCCACCCACACACAGTCACTACAGCCCCACACACAGTCATCACCCCCCTCAACACAGTCACTACACCCCCCCCCACACAGTCACTACACTCCCCCCTCACACAGTCACTACACCCCCACACACAGTCACTTCACACCCCCCACAACAGTCACTTATCACCTCCCACACTGTCACTCACACCCCCTTTACACATCACACGCACACACACATCACTACAACAACACCCTCGCACAACTACACTACACACCCTCACACAGTTACTACACTCACACACCCTCGCACAGTTACTACACACATCACACACCACACAGTCATCACTCCACACCCTCACACACACTACACAGCAACACCTCACACAGCACTTCACACCCACACACATCACAGCATATCCCTCCCACACTCACACACACCACACTTTACACAGATCACCTACGCACACACACACCACTACAACACACACACCTCCACATTCTACTCACACACCCTACACACAGTACTAATCACACACTCGCACATCTACTCACACACCACACAGTTCACACTCCACACACTCCCACACAGTCTATCACTCCACACACTCACACATTTACACTACACACACAACACCTCCACACACACACCAATCACACACAGACCCTCAGCACTCCCACATCACTCACACACACACACACAGCAATCACCTCCACACACACTCACACACAGCAATCACCTCCACACACTCACACACACAGCAATCACCTCCACACACACACACACACACACAGCAATCACCTCCACACACACACACACACACAGCAATCACCTCCACACACACACACACACAGCAATCACCTCCACACACACTCACACACACACACACAGCAATCACCTCCACACACTCACACACACACACAGCAATCACCTCCACACACACACAGCAATCACCTCCACACACTCACACACACAGCAATCACCTCCACACACACTCACACAGCAATCACCTCCACACACACACACACACAGCAATCACCTCCACACACACACACACACACACAGCAATCACCTCCACACACACACACACAGCAATCACCTCCACACACTCACACACACACACAGCAATCACCTCCACAACTACTCACACACACACAGCAATCACCTCCCACACACACACACACAGCAATCACCTCCACACACACACAACACACAGCAATCACCTCCACACATCACACACACAGCAATCACCTCCACACACACTCTCACACACACACACACAGCAATCACCTCCACACACTCACACACAGCAATCACCTCCACACACTCACACACACACACACACACACAGCAATCACCTCCACACACACACAGCAATCACCTCCACACACACTCACACACACACACAGCAATCACCTCCACACTCTCACACACACACAGCAATCACCTCCACACACACTCACACACACACACAGCAATCACCTCCACACTCTCACACACACACAGCAATCACCTCCACACACTCACACACACACACAGCAATCACCTCCACACACTCTCACACACACACACAGCAATCACCTCCACACACTCACACACACAACACAGTCACTACACCCCTCCCTCACACAGTCACTACACCCCCCCACACAGTCACTACACCCCACACAGTCACTACACCCCCCACACAGTCACTACACCCCTCCCTCACACAGTCACTACACCCCCCCACACAGTCCACTCACCCCCCCACACAGCAGTCACTGCACCCCCCCACACACACTGTCACTACACCTCTCCCCACACAGTCACTACACCCCCACACACAGTCACTACACCACCCTCCCTCCCCCCACACAGTCTCTAAACCCCCCACCCACACACAGTCACTACATCCCCCACCCACACACAGTCACTACACCAACCCACACACAGTCACGACACCCCCCCACACAGTCACTACACCCCCCCACACACAGTCACTACACCCCGCTCAGTCACTACACCCCCCCACACGCAGTCACTACAACACCCCCACAGTCACTACATTCCCCCCCACAGAATCACTACACCCCCCACACAGACACTACAACCCCTCCACACAGTCACTACAACCCTACCACACAGTCACTACACCCCTCCCTCACACAGTCACTACACCCCACACAGAGTCACTACACCCCTCACGCAGTCACTACACCCCCCACACAGTTCACTACACCCCTCCCTCACACAGTCACTACACATCCCCACACAGTCCACTACACCACCCCCCCACAGTCACTATACCCCCACACAGTCACTACACCCCCCACCACACAGTCACTACACTCCCCCCCCACACAGTCACTACAACCCCTCCCTCACACAGTCACTACACATCCCCACACAGTCACTACACCACCCCCCACAGTCACTATACCCCCCCACACAGTCACTACACCCCCCCACACAGTCACTACACCCCCCCACACAGTCACTACACCCCCCTACAACACAGTAACGACACACCCCCACACAGTCACCACACCTCCTTCCACACAGTCACTACACCCCCCCCACACACAGTCACTACACCACCCCCACAGTCACTACACTCCCCCCCACAGTCACTACACTCCCCCACACAGTCACTACACCCCCCCCACCACACAGTCCACTACACCACCCCCACAGTCACTACACTCCCCCCCACACAGTCACTACACGCCCCTCGCACCCACAGTCACTACAACCCCTCCACACAATCACTACACCCCTTCCCCACACAGTCACTACACCCCACACAGTCACTACACCCCCCCACACAGTCACTACAGCCCCCACACAGTCACTACACCCCACAGTCACAACAACCCCCACAGTCACTACACCCCACACAGTCACTACACCCCTCCCCCACAGTCACTACACTCCCACACACAGTCACTACACTCCCCCCCCACACAGTCACTACAACCCACTCCTCTCTCACACAGTCACTACACACCCCCCACACAGTCAATACACCCCCCACAGTCACTATATACCCCCTCACACAGTCACTACAACCCCCCCACACAGTCACTACACCCCCCCAACACAGTCACTACACCCCCCCACACAGTCACTACCCCCCCAACACAGTCACTACACCCCCCCACAGAGTCACTACACCCCCCCAACACAGTCACTACACCCCACAGAGTCACTACACCCCTCCCCACACAGTCACTACACCCCCTTCCACACAGTCACTACACCCCCCACACACAGTCACTACACCCCACGCACAGTCACTACACCCCCCCCACACACAGTCACTACACCCCCCGCACAGTCACTACACCCCCCCCCACACACAGTCACTACACCACCCCCACAGTCACTACACTCCCCCCCACACAATCACTACACCCCCCACACAGTCACTACACGCCCCTCGCACCCACAGTCACTATAACCCCTCCACACAGTCACTACACCCCTCCCTCACAGTCACTACACCCCCCCACCACAGTCACTACACCCCTCCCCCAACAGTCACTACCCCCCCACACAGTCACTACACCCACACAGTCACTACACCCCCCACACAGTCACTACATCCCTCCCTCACACAGTCACTACACACCCCCACACAGTCACTACACCCCCCCACACAGTCACTACACCCCCCCACACAGTCACTGCCCCCCACACAGTCACTACATCCCTCCCTCACACAGTCACTACACACCCCCACTGTCACTACACCTCTCCCCACACAGTCACTACACCCCCACACACGTCACTACACCACCCTCCCTCCCCCACACAGTCTCTAAACCCCCCACCCACACACAGTCACTACACCCAACCCACACACAGTCACGACACCCCCCCACACAGTCACTACACCCCCCCACACACAGTCACTACACCCCCGCTCAGTCACTACACCCCCCACACGCAGTCACTACAACACCCCCACAGTCACTACACTCCCCCACACAGTCACTACACTCCCACACAGTCACTACAACCCCTCCACACAGTCACTACAACCCTACCACACAGTCACTACACCCCTCCCTCACACAGTCACTACACCCCACACAGAGTCACTACACCCCTCACGCAGTCACTACACCCCCCACACAGTCACTACACCCCTCCCTCACACAGTCACTACACATCCCCACACAGTCACTACACTCACCCACCACAGTCACTATACTCCCCCACACAGTCACTACACCCCCCACACAGTCACTACACCCCCCCCACACAGTCACTACACCCCCCCACACGCAGTCACTACACCCCCCTACACACACAGTAACGACACACCCCCACACAGTCACCACACCTCCTTCCACACAGTCACTACACCCCCCCCACACACAGTCACTACACCACCGCCCACAGTCACTACACCACCGCACAGTCACTACACCCCCGCGCACACAGTCACTACACCACCGCACACAGTCACTACACCCCCCCCACACAGTCACTACACCCCCCACACAGTCACTACACCACCCCCACAGTCACTATACCCCCCACACAGTCACTACACGCCCCCAAGGTCACTACACGCCCCCCACACAGTCACTACACCCAACCCACACACAGTCACTACACCACCACCGCAGTCACTACACTCCCCCCACACAGTCACTACACACCCCACACAGTCACTACACCACCCCCCACAGTCACTATACCCCCCCACACAGTCACTACACGCCCCCCAAGGTCACTACACGCCCCCCACACAGTCACTACACCGCCCCCACACAGTCACTACACTCCCCCCCACACTGTCACTACACCTCCCCCCACACAGTCACTACACCACCCGCACACACAGTCACTACACCACCCGCACAGTCACTACACCACCCTCCCTCCCCCCACACAGTCTCTAAACCCCCCACCCCACACTGTCACTACATCCTCCCACCCACACACAGTCACTACACCCAACCCACACACAGTCACTACAGCCCCCCACCACACAGTCATTGCACCCCCCCAACACAGTCACTACACCGCCCCCACACAGTCACTACACTCCCCCCTCACACAGTCACTACACCCCCTCACACAGTCACTTCACACCCCCCCACATACAGTCACTTCATCCCTCCCACACTGTCACTGCACACACCCCTTTACACAGTCACTACGCACACACACAGTCACTACAAACACACACCCTCGCACAGTTACTACACTCACACACCCTCACACAGTTACTACACTCACACACCCTCACACAGTTACTACACTCACACACCTCACACAGTTACTACACTCACACACCCTCGCACAGTTACTACACTCACACACCCTCACACAGTTACTACACTCACACACCCTCGCACAGTTACTACACTCACACACCCTCACACAGTTACTACACTCACACACCCTCACACAGTTACTACACTCACACACCCTCACACAGTTACTACATACCTCCAACCCCCACACACACACCAGATACACACAGGACCCTCAGCACTGCCCACATCACTCACCCACCAGATCTACGTACACACTTTGCCCCCAACCCCATATCCCCCAACCCCTCACGTCCCCCCGGCCCCTCACGTACCCCCCAACCCCATACCCCCCAACCCCTCACGTACCCCCCAACCCCTCACGTACCCCCAACCCCTCACGTCCCCCCAACCCCTCACGTCCCCCCAACCCCTCACGTCCCCCCCAACCCCTCACGTCCCCCGGCCCCTCACGTCCCCCGGCCCCTCACGTCCCCCCGAACCTCTCACGTCCCCCCGGCCCCTCACGTCCCCCCGGCCCCTCACGTCCCCCGGCCCTCACGTCCCCCGGCCCCTCACGTCCCCCCGGCCCCTCACGTCCCCCGGCCCCTCACGTCCCCCCGGCCCCTCACGTCCCCCCGGCCCCTCACGTCCCCCCAACCCCTCACGTCCCCCCGGCCCCTCACGTCCCCCCGGCCCCTCACGTACCCCCAACCCCTCACGTCCCCCGGCCCCTCACGTCCCCCCGGCCCCTCACGTACCCCCAACCCCTCACGTCCCCCGGCCCCTCACGTCCCCCGGCCCCTCACGTCCCCCCGGCCCCTCATGTCCCCCCCAACCCCTCACGTACCCCCCAACCCCTCACGTCCCCCCCGGCCCCTCACGTCCCCCCGGCCCCTCACGTCCCCCGGCCCC